TTTGCTTAAGAAAGAGCGCACTAAGCTTTAGGCAGCTCTAGCAGCTGCAACAGAACGCAAATCACATAAAAGAAGGCAGATTCAGCAGGAAGGGACCCTTACAATTAAGGAATCCCAGCGTGTAGCTACCCTAAAGGAGTTCGGCGCTTGTAGTGATGGTAAGAAGCTAAAGAAGAGGGTGCGCGCTAAAGGAGGCAAACCATCCTAACAACAGTGTAGAACGTGCAGAGAGACAGGGCACAACGCGCGAACGTGCAAGAATAATGCAGATATAGTCTCTAAGTAATAACACAGGTTGTTTTACCTTATACTAGCCCATAGTAGGCAGATGCGGGCCAAAGTAGGGTGTAATAGGGGAGGGTCTTAGCAAAAGTAATCCATTAACCCGTGTGATCCATTAGCCCGTAAGGTATGTTATAAGCTAAGAGGGAAAACTACGCGTAATAAACTTAAGAACATGCTTAATAATTACCTTCTTCTTGTTATTATCTAGCTTCCTTAAACTAGCTATAGAATTAGCGCGTAAAGGTTATCCTGCATGTTAGTTACTTAGTGTTCTTTAAGGGACCTTATAGATAGCTACAGCACGTTAATAAGAGAGATTCGCATCTTGTTTAAGAGCCTAGAGCGCAAGCTATATTTAAGCTTCCTTTAACGCGTTTATTTAGCATTGTTAAGGATATATTAGTTACCTAAACTATTATTTATCTTATTAGTAGATAATAACGTACTCTACAAGCGAGTAACCGGCACAAGCGAGTGACCGGGTTTTGCCAAGACTACACTAAACTTTACTCTGCCTATTATACCTCAACAAAATAATATAAAGAGGCTGTCAAACGAAGCAGACATACAGCTTGCTCTCTAGGCTATCTAACAAGACGCGAATCTTACTGTGCCACGCGCTGCAGCTATCTATAAGGTGTTAGAAAGCACCCTACGACAATAACGCGATAGAAAGCTCTCTCAACGCGATTGCAAGCCCAACATAATAAGGATAACTAGTACTAAAGAGGAGGTGATTATCCAGCATGTATTAAAGCTAGACGAGCAAGGATACTTGCCCCAGCTTGCTAATGTGGAGGATATAGCTAATTCTCTGCTTGCTAAGCGCCACCAGCCCCACGTTAGCAAGAACTAGGCTGCCAACTTTGTCAAACGTTGGCCAGAGCTTAAAGTTAAATTTAATTGCAAGTACGACTATAAGAGAGCTCTGTGTGAGGATCTAAAGGTAATTAGAGACTAGTTCCAGTTAGTAGAGAATACTAAAGCCAAGTATAGTATACAAGATAAAGACACCTATAACTTTAACGAGGCTGGCTTTATAATAGGCGTTATATCAACAGGAGCTGTTGTTATAGGCTCTAAGTCTCGAGGGAGACCAAAGACAGTGCAGCAGGGCGACTAAGAGTGGACCAGTATCATCCAGGGCATCAATGCAAAGGGCTGGTCTATCCCACCCTTCATCATCTTCTCTAGCAAGCACCACCTCTCTGCCTAGTACAAGGAGCCTAGTATACCTAACAACTAGGTTCTTAATGTCTCTAACAACAGCTAGACTAACAACAAGCTTAGAGTTAAGTGGTTAAAGCACTTTGATGAGCACACAAAGGCGCGCACTATTAGCAGCCATCAGCTACTTATTCTAGACGGCCACAAGAGCCACAACTCAGTCGAATTCCACCAGTACTGCAAGGAACACAAGATTATTACCCTGTGTATGCCTCCACACTTGTTGCACCTACTACAGCCACTTAACGTGGGCTGTTTTTCTCCGTTAAAGAAGGTCTATAGCCGCCAAGCTAAGCAGCTGATGCGTAGCAAGATCACGCGTATCACCAAACTTAAGTTCTTGCCATGCTTCAAAGCGGCTTTTAACGCCTCAATCACAGAGAGTAACATCTAGGGAGGATTTAGAGGTGCCGGCCTAGTCCCACTTAACCTAGAGGCTGTGATATCCAAGCTTGAAGTGCGGCTGCGCACGCCAACGCCACCTACTGTAGACAACAGCACGTGGGAGTCTAAGACACCAAGCAACACCCTAGAATTTAGGTCCCAATCAAAGCTGATTTAAGAGAGGATTCAGAAACACGCTGATAGCTCGCTAACGTCTATGGTTGACGCTCTTAATTAGCTTACCAGAGGCGCAGAGCTAATAGCGCATTTACTAGTTTTAGTGCGCAACCAGGTTGCTAACCTACAGGCAGCCAACGAGGCCGCTACACGTTGTAAATTATACAAAAGGAAGCGATTACAGCAAGAGGGGACTCTAGCCTTTGCTAAGGGAGTGCAGCTAACTACTCTAAAGGAGTTTAAGGCCCGTAGTGATAGGAAGAAGGCAAAGAAGAGGTCGCGCGTTAATAGGAGCACTCAGTCTTTAAGGCGCTGTAGCACATGTAGCAAGATAGGGCACAACGCGCGAACATGCAGTAAAGATGCGCAGAGTACTATAGACTAGTTCTATATACTATATAGTATAATATATTATTATTGTGTGCTATAATGTTGCAAAGTAAGTATAGTGTTGGTGTAGTCTTGGCAAAACCTAGTTACTCGCTTGTGCCGGTTACTTGCTTATAGAGTACGTTACCGTGTCCGTGCGCGTAATGCGCGGATTCGCGTAATGCGCCGAACCACCAAAATAGCTTACTCAAAAATGAGGCTATAGAGCCACACTTAATAGTTATTATTGCGAGATATTTTGTTAGAGTACTCTATAGACCTATGCAATAATATTCTCTCATACATTTTACTTATATAGAGTTGCTGTTCGGCTGCTACAGGTAGTGTGGGTGCGGGCAGGCAGAGGAGGCGTTGCAGGTATAGGGTAACTACGAGCACCTACCATACAACGCGCAGGCTTACTTCTTACTATAGAAGCTTTTGAAGTTGTCTTATTGCCTCTTTAGGACAATTGTATAGCTTTTGCAGCATTGTAAGCTTCCTTCTAACATTGTTTTTCAGCCTTGCGTTCAGCCACTTCTTCTGCCTTCTTAGCTTTGACCCAGGCTCTCTCTTCCTTCTCCCTCACCTGCTGCTCACGCTTCTCCTTATAAAGCTTTTCTTTGTATAGCTTATTAGCGTGCCTAAGTTTAGCCATCTCTGCTTTTCTAACCTCTTCTGCCTTAGCTTCTTATTGTTTACCTGCTCATACTAATGTGCTTTCTCAACCCTGTGAGGAGAGTAAAACACTGCTCCACCGTGATAGTTCTCAGGTTCCTAGAAGTCAAGAGGTTTGCTCTTCTTCTTATGCTTCTTCTAAGTCTTAAGAACCTCTTTTAGGCCTGCTATCTCATAGTAGAGTAGCTGGTTTTAGACTGAGATGTGGTAGAGGGATCAGCTAATCTTCCTCAGCTCCTTACTACTCTCATCCTTAGCCACCTTCCGCAGTAGGGTCTCAATTTTAAGCTAATCTTTGCCAGAATAAGTTAAAGAAGAGCTTCCGCTAGTATCAGAAGCTTCTAGGGAGTCCTTAGCAAAGCGTTAGAGTATAACGTTAGGTTAGAGGGGTACTATACCCGTTGCCTTAAAAGACTTAAGTATTAGCCCCTAAGTAAATGTACTCATCTAGGCCTTCCAGAATAGGTAGAAGAAGTCACTCTTCTTGATTACTAATAGTCCCTAGCCATTATAAAGGTGTGTTATAAGCTCCTTTAAGTACGCAGTTAAGAGAGGCTTAAACATTACTACATCTAACGGCTGCAGTGTATGCGTTAAGTAAGGAGGAAGGATAGCTAGGAGTATCCTATTCTAATCATAATAGTTAATAAAATCCATTGTTACATAGGATCTATAGCTGTCAAGGATTAGGAGGCGCCAGTTCCTCTATGCCTTAGTCTTGGTAAAGCGATCAAACACCTACTAAAGCCAGGCAAGGCCTATATTGTTGTTAGTCTAGCCAGTAGGGGATAAGGAAACAAATACTGAGTGTACCCCTAGCTCTATCTCCTCCACCCAGCTCAATTGCAGGGTACTGTTAGCAGAGTTGTAGATAAGACCTAGCGGCAGTACCATCCCATCACCGCACACACAAGCCAGCAGCGTCACCTATGCCCTATTACTATCTTAGAGTGATGCCTTAACCTCCCCCTTCTCCTACATCCGTCTACTAAAGACGTGTTTCGTCCTAGTGGTAACCCCTATTATAAAGCCCTTCTTATCTATATTATATGTGTGGCAGCTATCAACCTTATATTTAGCAATCTTGCGTTATAGTAGGTTAAAGTAGAGCTCATACTTTTAATACAAATTAGCGTTATAGCGATTAGCGTCCATACCCGTTGAGTATTTAGAGATAAGATAGATAGCATAGGTGTTGATAAACTAGGTAACCCAGCTCTCGCTCACGCGATCCTTGGCCACAGAAGACGCAAAATTTTGTATCATCTCCCTTGTAGGAGGTATAGAACGAGCAGTAAGCTCTCTTATATAAGTTATAAGCTCCTCCTCTTATTAGGGGGTGAGCTTCTGTTGTGCAATAATCTTCTCCTAATGCAGGCGCGTCTTACCCCTCTATGTGCGCGTCAACGTTGACCGCATAATACCATGCTTTTGTGCTATTTTAGTCTACGGAATCTCATCTTTAGATGCAAAAGTATCACACTCTAAGAGGGCTTCTTATAATCCTATTGCGTTGTGTTGTTGTGGATGTGTGAGTATAGAGGTGTTTTGGTGGTTCAGCGCATCACGCGAATCCGCGCATCACGCGCACGGACACGGTACCGGTACACCAGTACTTTAGCTACCTAAAGCCCCAAGAATCTGGAGGCAGATGCATACCAGCCTCCAACACCACCTTCGTCTACTCCTCTATAGACAAAAAGTATACTGTTTCCCAACCTTGCTCAGCCCCACATCCGCCATCTGCGCCATAGAAATCGCCACATCGCTAGCGTTGTTCACGAACGTGATGCCACTGCACTGTTGATCCAGTAACTCACTAACGACATCCTTGCGACACGTTTCCACAAAGACAGAACCAAATGCGTCGGCATTGTAATCTACTTTAGGTACCGTCTGTGTCTTGTGCGCAAGTGCAGGAGCGAGTCTATCCAATCAGAAACTGTGCGCTCAACTGTTGCATCTTTGCCACCGTCAATGATCGTAGACGGACGCTGGATATCAATGCGCAAGCCGTATTTCTCATATGCCCGCTTAAGAACATTTCCACATGTCCATTTCCCATACATGAAGCTGTGCGTCCCATCTGTAGGTGGCGTCTTATCCGTGTTCGTGTATGAGATTGGTGGAAAAGCTTCCAGCTTGGTGAATAGAGCTACACCAGCTGACAAGACATAGTGGATCCGGGATGCCAGATCGTATGCACAGGATGGTCGACGCGAGCGGGTTGCGAAGTACAGAGGCCGTTGTACCAGTCAAAGAGAGACGTTGAGCTCTGGTCTTGTCGTACCCAAGAGAAAGATGATAACAGCCGGTTGGACACCTAATTGCCAACACGGTGAAGTGCGTGAGGTGCAGCTCAGTAAGCTTATCCTTCTTCGTAAACGTTGTCACTGCCAGTTCGTATGGCGACATCTGGCGGAAGTTTGGTCCATCTTTGCCGTACTCTAAACTGACCACGATCTTGCTAATGTCAACACGTTCAAATATGGGCCGTATGGTGGAGTTGAGACGGCTATTGACGTCTGTAATGGTGGATAATCGTGGGACCAGCTCTTGTCCCTGGGGGTCAATGATGACCTCAGACTCCTTGGTGTATAGAATGTCTTTGAGATCCAGACGGGTGGAAGTAAAGCGAACAATATATTCTGCAACCTTTTCGGGGTCGAGTTTGTCAACGTCCGTCACGTCTACGTATTGGACGCGAAGGGTCTCATCCTCGTGCATTGCAGATTGATCAAAGCCAATCGTCATATTGCAGTAGGGTCTATGTTCCAGTCGGCCGCTGGTGAGCCATAGAATCTCTCTCTTTGTTTCCAAGACCCTTCTGAACTTGTACATTTCACCGAGGTAATTTTTTTGAAGACTAGAGATTCCAGGTCTGCAAGACTGACAATGACTGACTCGCCGTCAAGGGGCCTTTCATCCAGAACTTCTAGGGAGGCATATGGCAGGACTTTCTCAACCAATGGGGCTAATGCGACCTCGATTTCCCTAGAGAGCTCGGCGATGGGTGGTGTGCGTCCTCCAACGATAACGACTGTGCATGGAATTCTTGGTATGTGCAACAGGAGCGCGAGAAAATTCAATGCAATCATCAACCGTAATAGACACAAATCGCGTGATGCCAAAGGCATCGAAGAGTTTTTGCGCCCAGATTGTGTCAACACACAAGAACTGGGCACCCTTAAGAATGGCATTCCACTCGTTGGGTTCCCACTCAGCAGTGACAGCGTGTAAGGCGGAATCTTGCCTTACGCGAATGGACAATGTGACTGAGGTCTACGTTAAAGTTCTGGCCCTCAAAGCCCATCTCGACCTTGACCGCGACTGATCGGCGAGTAAGAAAGGCATCGGGAACACCTTCAAGGCAGTCATAGAAAGCCCGGATGCGTATATAGCGGTAGACTCGGGATGAGCAATACAGTGAAGGGCATGTTTAATGTTCTACCCGTTTGCAAGTCCCTTGATGTCTTGGGCGCAAGTTGGTGAGGTTTATGGCGCCGTGCCAATCACGCCGAGACTAACGCACAGAGATGTAGACTGGGGTGAGCAAACTGTGATGGGTGCGTAGCCTAATCAGTTTGGGCAGGGTCAGCATGGTTCTTTACTTTCCTTAGCTGCTTAATTCTAGTTTAATAGGACACAGAATGCAACAATAGATTAGAGCCACTTACAGTAATTTCTACTATATGTACAGCGATACGCTACCAGTAGATGCAACCTTGTACCTGTCTTATAGGGGTCTGCACATTTTGACAGTCATCGATAATCGGACGAATAGACTATAACGATGGACGAGGCATACTATTCACCGCTTCAACATCTGGATTGCCATGATTCCTGTGTCTGTAGCGCTCCCATAAACCAAGACGGGGAGGTTCCTTGCATCTGATTTCGAGGGCAGTCCCGGCAGGTTCAAGGCGGTGATGTCAGCGTGGCTAACGCAGCGAGACTCCAACTAATGGCGCCTATGGTAGCAGCCTCGAGGTCAGAGACACAACTCGGGATACGTAACAGACGGTATGCGTCAGCTATGGCATAATCTGCAAATGCCCCATTGTAGGGATTGCTAGGTCAGTAGGGGAAGACCGAGTGCCGACTCAAGTCCGAATCCCACCATGGTTTCACAGAAGTCACAGCCGATGGTATTGTTCTGCATGAAGACGTGGGTTACCATATTGTGGTCGGTAGGATTAAGGTCAACTGCCAGCACGCTTACACGCACGTGGTGCGGCGAGGGCAGAGGCGACAACGAGCGGGCATTAGCGATGACGAGTGGAAGATGGAGCGGAGAGAGAGCTGCTTTGGACTGAATGACAGCAGTCTGGCCAATTGTGGAGAGCTCTATGGATGAAGCGGAAGGTGCAGGCAACGTGCATGACGTCGGCAAGATTGAAACATGTACTATCGTGTAGTGAGTTAGCATAAGGTATCCATGCCTCGTTTGGGGCCATCGTCTGCCTATCTAGAAAACCGCAGGCTAATGTTGGAGAATCCTTAGGGCGGAGACGTTACAGTGGATAAGTAGAGTAGAGTTGTTCGCCACGCTGGGAGGATGTGTAATGTACTCCACAAGCGAGTAATTGGTGCACTGCGCATGGTACGTCAGCAAGAGCGCATCCACCAATGTGTGCACGGCTCGGGCCGCGGCGGGGTTAGGTACTTGATAGCCGATTCAAAATAGCTCGGGCCCAGGCTGTGTGCAGAATTCCTCCACAACAATAGGTCCGGGACCGATTGTCTTCGATAGGTCTCAAATCACTTTAAACGTGCTACGGTACGCTGCAGCCCTTCGTGCGCTCTGTTATCTCTGTGAGACCATGTCTTATCCCCCCGCCTATGCGCGCCCTTGAAGCCTTTTGCTCCGCAGCCTGCAGCCATGACACAAAAGCTCGACTGGTCTCACTTCTACAACATCATTGACGGGAAGCTTGAATTTACTTCCCAGACTCGTCATGTCATAGACCCCGCTACTGCACGACAGAGTTTATGTACGTAAAGAATAAACATGCCAATTGTTACTAGAAACACGAACAGCCAAGGTACTAGCATGCAGAAAACACGACAAACAGTGAGAAACCAACATTTGGATTTACCATCACAAAAAGCATTGAGAATACCTGCATGTGATTGTAACGGTCTCTACAGGCCATCGCGCGTCCTTCCCGCGTCGGTTTGGTACCTGTAGAGCCGCTGTTGCGGCCCTGGCAGGCACAGACAGACAACATCTGCGAGCAAGCTACTCAACATGATACGCTCACCAAAAGCAGCAGCAGCCATCTAGCCACGACACAGCAACGCAAGATGCGACGACAGAGACCAGACACCTCTTGAGCGTCATGTTCATGATACACACAACACAGTCATCGATAGGTTTTCTAATATGCCTATCACCAACCGACAATGTCTGCAACGTCCCGCATCGGCAAGCCCTCGTGCTGAACAGCATCGTCTCCCACGCGAATCGCTTCACAGACATCCGCATGCTACCATCGGTGCCACAATACACTTACAGATCACCAGACAGCCTTGTCCGCTGTTGCCCACACCCTCGCGGCAAGGGACTGGTCACCCCTTCAACGTAGCTCGACAAGGTCTGAAGATGTTCGCGCGAGAGCTCTCATGCTCAATAGGCTTGACGGCACGCACAAGCGGAGGATCGCTCTTGTGAATCCGTGTTGCGACGAGATGCTGCTGCCGTTGCGCCTGGTGGCAGGTCACACCACACAACACAGCCGCATAGTAACCTAGTGGACGGCATCATAACACTGGGAGGAAATCGGAGATCGGGGAACATACTCCAGGCCCTGGCGGTAGTGGGGCAAGCTAGCACACACAAAAGTGAGCGGCTTGCCCGTTAAGCGACTCGTCCGTGGGGTAGTTATATCGAAATGGCCAAGTCATCACGTCTTAAAACCTCAGGTGAAGTCTCTTTAAGCTTATCCAGACCTTCCTTGAACAACACCTCCGTCCCTTCTGTTTTGGTCATAATTGCAAAGGTGCTACACAGCAAGCCCTCCGCGGATATGTCTTGACTGCCATTGTGCACTTTGAGTTCCTTCCACTTCAGACGCAGAATGCGGAGGTCATTCATGGTCAGCACTCGGTCCACCATTCCCAGCGTCTGCACGCTAGGCTGGCGTTCTATCATCAATTGAAGCTGACTTGTTTTCCGCCGCTCGCTGATCCATATTAGAAGGCCTTCGCGGTGACATTCGAACAGCCGTTCCATCGCAAGCCTGAAGTCCTGTTCATGGCTAGCCCATACTTGTTCTAGACTGTGTAACAGAGCGGATTCGTCGGCTCTTTCACCATTTCGGGGAAACAAGTATCCTAAAAGAAGCCGTAAAAGTTCGCACTGCAAAAGGGTTACCTCACAAAGACCAGGCATCTGATTGCTGCCCGAGCCATTCTGGTGATCAATAGTGCGGCCCATAGTAGGGTGCAGAGCGGAAACTCCAGTCGGCGACAATGGCACCACTCCGGTAGCATGGTTTGCCGAAGAGTTTTCTGGGTAGGTGATCATGACTTGGGCCGCAGGCGGAGTTTGACCATGCAACGCGTGGGTGCTCCTTGTGTCTCCATGTCCTCTCTCGCGCTGGCTATCGGACAGGAGGGAAGCGCCCAACGGCTCACGGCTGTTAGATGTGTTTGGAGCCATCGACTGGACTGATATCTCAGAAAGACTAGGCGCAGTATGCGTGCTGGTTGTGTTGGAACCATCGGCGCCAGTGGAGACGCTTGTTTGAACCTGATTTACCGCAACGAACGTGCTTGTGGGAGAGCTAGTAGAACGAGGCGTACCATCCGGTACACAACGCGAGTGAGGGCTCGGTAGCGCCGATGGCCTTCCGGAAGAGATTGCGGCCAAACTGTTAACAGCCGTATAGGTGGCCGGGGGTAGCAAATAAGTGTTGTCTGACGTAGGGGTATAGGGGATGTTCTCGGAGCTTTGTCTTGGTGTGGAAGAAGGCTCTCGTGAAGACTGCTCCGCAGACATAGCTGCGTTTTGGCGAGGCCGCTTCCTAGCGGCAGAATTGTTTCCTGAACTCGGGACTGAGTAGCGAGCGTCGACTTTCCGTTTCGTCGAACCGTTCTGTTGGGCCATGGCATGTACGGGTGGGGTTATGGTGGAACCAGTAAGGTCTTCATCCCGCAATACTTCCACTGGTGACTGCGAAACCTGTCAGGTCTTTGAGTTTTGCACACGGAAGAGTTAGAGGCTTTATTACCGATGCGGGCGTGCCTATTACAAGATGCAAAGTACTAGTATCGGGATTGGTTCTGAGATCACACGCAGCCGATTGCCTTGTCAGCTTCCTAGGCGGAAGACGTGTGTACGCCTCTTTGTAGATCCATCGATGGAGGTGTATTTTGAGTCGGCAAAGGGTCAGCTGATCGGCAAAGCCCAACACCAGTAGCCAGCTTACATTTTTCTATCTACAGGGACTTCGTAAAAGAGTTCCTTGGGATAGTTGGTTTTCGGGTTCCCAGGTGCTATTAACAGCCGCCTGCGGTCTGCACTCTCGCCCCAAATCACAGGACCATGGGTACTCAGCAACGTGTCAAGCTCCTTGTCGAGCGTGTCAGGATTTGAGGCAGATTTAAGAAGAGCGTCTAGGTCGTTGGAAAGGGTCTGTGACAGCTTCTGCACTTCGTTGGATAGCTTGCGTGATTCACGTTCAGAGAATTTCGGGATGCCGCGGCCCGTGGTGTGGGAGAGGCCTAAACATTCGATGATTTCGGGGATTGCTGGGCCTTGACTGCCGAGGAAGATGACCCAGTCACTTTTGCTCCAGCGCTGGAGTGGAAGATCACCCATCGCAAATACTGCCTGCTTCCGCGGTAGTTGGAGATGGGATCGATGGCTGGGATGAGATGTGACGATGGTGTCGGCATAGGAATGCCAGTTTGATGAGTAAAGTTCCCGGGAAAGAAGATGATGGAAGCTAGCCTCAAAGCAGTTAGAAAGTCTACATGGGCACGTGCCACACTGAAGTTATCGTTCATTGGCCTTTGATCGCTCATTAGCTTTCTTCTGCTTCTTTCAAATTGGGGGCTAGCGACTTAGCCCGGTACAGTCCATGCGCAATGCAAGGACGGAGTCCACTGGCTGTTTGTGCCGATAGCATTAATTATGTTAACTAAAGTTAGCGGCTCGTTTTCTGCGGAAGGGCACAATCGTCCGAGATTCAATGGATGAACGATCTTATTCACTCCTGAAACCGATTCGGTCAAGTTGCTGCTTGGTGCCAAGGAGGATGTTGAGACCTTGTGTCGCGTCTGCGCTAATCATTTTCAGGCAATACGCCCATGCGCATTCTCAATCTAGAGGAAAGGTACGCCAAAATCGTGATTTGCCCTATACTGTCGAGTAGGGGTTCCTTTACGTATCGAACTGTTCGCAAGAGCAGGACGATTGCGAAAATCATGTCCCCTGGTTGGTGCACGACGTTGTGTCGTCTTGAGGAGGTTCTTTGTGCGAGCTCTACCCCTCAAGGGCCACTGTGACAGAGCTTCCACACCGCAGAACAGAAAACAACAACAAAACAGAGGAACTTTCTTGAAACCCACCCGACATGCGCCCTAGAGGGTAGCCATACTCGCTACCCTGCTTCGGACGTGCGACAGGACACCTCTGTGCTTGCGCCGCTCTGAGAGCGTAGCGAACGCTGCGAGGGCAGGAACAGTCCCAACTTCCGGTTCCTTCCCAGCGGAAACTTGTCAAGACTATCGATCCTAGACGAGCGCACACGTAAACAGTGCTTAGGAGGCACGACTGAAGTTGGCGGTCAAGAGGAGGACCTCAAACAGCATGGTGCTCGTAACTGCTTTACGATGGTCACAAACCTACGGTACGCGCCAAGGACGGGGTAGTTAGGGTCACAGAACATCAAGGGAGAAGAGCTGACAAGGGGAGGGAACACAAGCTTGGTTAGTGGAGGGCGGAGAGGCAGGCAGTCGCGCGGCGTCGGATTGCCTAAGGACTCCCCTCTGCAAAACGCGGACGACCTGTCATTCCGAGAGGAGTACAGGTGACGCGAAGCAGTCCGCTGGGGCCAAAAGAGACTGTGGGCTGTGGTATGTAATGGCAGCGATGGACGGCTACAAGGCACTCGGTCTACATTATTAGCATACGCGTAGAGAGGACCTCTGGTGAACTCGCTAATCCTTGCAGGAGGGAAGGTCTGTGTCAACACAACAGCTGCTAGGACGCTCCTATGGCAGGAGAGGCACTAGGAGAAGGATCACACCCTTTCCGACAACACTGTCTACATAGCCCGAAGGTACGGATGTGCGTGTCGGTCTATTAAGAGGGTAGAAGGCAGTGCCACCGAAACAGGCTTATGGCGCAAATCAGGTACACACGAGGGGCTAGCCGGCTCGTCACCGGCCGACCACAGAACCGAAGCTGGGACAAGAGAGTCTTGTCGTTGTAGGGAAAACCCGTGATAGGGATTTGGTTGTGTGGGCTAGGCATCCCCTACTATACAATTAGGCATCTAATGCAAATGTCGTGTAAAATGCCGCTGATTGAGGAGAAGGAGGTCCGGACTGCTATCCGTGCGTCATCGCTCCTCAAAGCCCTAGGCCCAGATAGAATCACGAACAGGGTCCTGCAAGCCGGAATCGATCTGACCGTAGCTTATCTAACGAGGATTTTTAATCAAAGCCTAAGGCTAGAATACTGCCTAAGCCGTTTTTACGCATTAACCACAGCGGTTCTTTGCAAGCCTAATATAGTAAAGCTAACTATGCAGTCTCCAAAGCACCGACGCTTATTAGCAGCGTTCACATGGTGCCAAGCTCATCAGGGCGGCGCTTACTGTTAGAAAGATGCTTACAATAAGCGCCATTGTCAGCACAGCATAAAGGTCAGCATCATGTTCTCAGCGCAAAGGTACTGACGGTCAGCATAACTTAATCATCATTACTTTCAAGGTAAAGGAGGAAGAACTGTCACCTCTTACGGCTGTTTTCATGACCATCAGCTTTACGCATAATATCTACTGCAACCGTGGCCCTAGTTCTCTGAAGCCTACCTTTGTGCGATGCGATGCTCAGTGCTTTCTTTTTACTTTCTTGGTTTATTCATGGATGACTTTACTAAGGGTTCACTATATTCTCAGTCTCTATTTTGCAGCAGTACATCCAGTCGAACTTTGGAATTCGTCTCGCAGGCTAATATCCCGCATAAGTCCAATTCCTCCCGCGTTCTGTATTTCTGAGGATTATCATCAACATGCTCAGTTGTAGGGAGTCCGGATGCATCGGGGAGGATCAGAGTCCTATAATATACAGCATAACGTTACTATTTCTAGCTACTGCTGTCTGCGTGGTAATGCTTAGGCAATCCCCCGCTGCCCCTTTCAGGAGCGCGGCTAAACCTTACTGCAGGCTGTCAGTAGTACCTTCTTCGTACCCAGCGGACAACTCTCTCATGATCCCTCATCGTTGTGTTAGCCTTGGTCGACATCGCACCGTGCATTCTGATCCATTTCCAGGTTCACAACGAAATGGGAAAGCATATCGAGTACTCGCGGGCTCGTCCAGCAATGCTTAGAACAAGCATGAAAGTGGGTCTCGCACAGAACAGATGTTACCAAGCATTAATTAGGTAAGTTGCTCCTGGTATTCGCCTGTTCCGCTCTTAGGCTGTTGAACCTCGATAGGCTCGTCCAGATGAGCATTCTAGCCCAGCTTCACCGACTTGCTTTACCAGGAATTCAAAAGCAGGTAGTCGTATAGATTAGAGGATTTGTGGTCGTTTTCATGCTGTTTACCATATTCGTTAGTGTTTATTTCGCTTGATCGAAGC